CTGCTGTTCAGTACCTTGAAAACCATTATCTCCTGGATCTTGGCTGGGTGCTTTGGTTTTTGAAAGGGAAAACATGGCCCCTATTACTTCATAAGAGCAAATGCAAGTTTCCCAGTGCTTTCTGCAGGGATGAAGAAATAGAGGACAGTGATCAGTCACACAACCAATTAATGTAAGAGAGGACCCGGACCCAGGAAATTGATGCAGTGGGCACTTGTATGCATACCAGGCACTGGGGGTAACGACCCTGCTTTTCAAGATCCACAGTCTACTGGGGAGATAGACAAAAGACCCAAGAATTAGGGATGTGTGAGTAAACTATGATGCATTTTATCATGCAGATGTTAATTCGCAGCATAGTAGGGGAGCAGGACAGGAAGCAAATGTTCAAAGAAAGTTTCCGAGGTAAGTTGATAGTTAAGTCTTGTGGGGAAAGAGAGGTAGGGGATATACAGGTGGAAAGGAGGTGGGGAGGGGGAGATGATGTAGGAGTAGGTACAACGTGGAGGTGTGGAGAAAGAAAGCAGGTCCTTTTCCCTCCATGCCTAGTGTCCACAGTATTGCACCATGGGGATCTATAGCTGTTTTATTATGAATGTGCATTTGGCTCCATTCCCTACAGAGGCCCTGACATCTGGGAATTCTCTTCCAGCAGTTGGCTCCTGTGCTGTTTTGGACTGAAGGCCTTTCTTTGTGGCCAGTCTTCTTCAGGACTGTGGATTAGCTGCCACCAGGAGGTTCCTGGTCTTTACCACTGTAGCCCTTTTTTCCCCCTGAAGGTGACAATGACATTGTTTTCTGTCATCTGTAGCACTGCCCATCAAGAAACTGTGGAAATGTATCCTGATTTTATTCCTGGTTCCACTAAAGACAAAGCCCAGGATCTTACTCCTTCAGCTAATGTCTCTAAGTGAGCCATTGCATCCATGGCCAAATTGTGTCTTGGAGGTCTTTGGCTAACCTCCTACTGGAGCTAATTGTGAGGTTGTCAGTCTGCCCTGAGTCCTTACTGGTCCTGGGCTCCAGAGGAGATGGGCAGAGAAGCCTGTCAGCCAGCAGAGACTTTACTCTTTTGACATCTTTCCCCAGGCTGGTTGATTTCCAATGAGGCTGGTTATCTTAGGGCTATTGGGGCACCAACCTACGCTACCCCAAGATGGAAGCTGCTGTGGTCAGTGCTGTTTCTCCCAAGGTCATCCCTTCATTCAGAAATGGGGAACATTTGCAACAGTGTTCTGTCCTTGTGGAGCTGTGGCTGGTTGTTTGTCCAATATAAGTAAAATCACAACTGTGATAAGCGCTGTAAAAGAGCAATTTGGGCCCACGGAGAACTGTGAAGGTGAGACTTGACCTTGTCTGGAAGCCAGGAGAACCCTTACCCAGAAGTTATGATTGAATGAGACCTTAAGTGTGAACAGAGCTGGTGAAGGGATGGAGGAGATGAAGGGTGTGCAGGACTCTGTGTGCTGGGGAAACAGAACCTGGGACGGTGGAGCAGGGTAGAAGTCGAGAGCCTGTGGGGTCCCATGGGCTGTGTAGAGAATGTTAGTCTCTGTTCTAACAGTCATGGGAAACTTCTGAAGGCTTAAATATCTTTTTAAAAGTTTATTTTTATTTTATTTGAAAGACAGGGAGGTCATCAAAGAGACAATCAAAGAGAGCTCTTTCGTTCATCGGTTCACCCCTGCAAATGCCTACAACATGCAGGGCTGGGCCCAGCCAAAGTCAGGAATCTAAAACTCCATGTAGGTGTCCCCCCTGAATGGAAAGTGCCCAGGTACTTGAACCGACGTTGGCTGCCTCCCAGGATGTATATAACTAAGAAGCTGGATTGGAAGTGGAGTAGCCTGAATCTGAAGCAGGCACTCTGATGAATACGGGCAAGGAAAGCAGCATTTAAGTCACAGTGCCAAACACCATCCCTGTCATTGAAGGCTTGTTAGCAGAAAGGGAACACGATCAGTTTGTTTTGCGTGTGTGTGTGTGTGTAAGTAATATTTGTTTGATTTCATTGTGGAGGTGAACAAGAGTGGGTTGCTGGATAGAATATTGGAAGCTAGTAAAATTTTGATGATAATTTTAAAAAATGATAAGTACATGCTCTAGTACTGTGTGGGAGTGTTGACACTAAGAATCGTTGTCTTATAACTTTCTTTAGTCTAAGTATATCCAAAGGATTCCATGGAACACTTACACTAAAATGATGTTCATAGTTTATTTGAAATTCAATTTTAAGTGCATCTACTGTATTTTTATTTGTTCAATTTGGCAAGACTAAGCAACAGAAGCTGTGGGGGATTCCAGTGACTGCTGGGGTTGGAAATGTGGTGGCCAGTGGAGAAAGGGGATAAAGAAGAAATAACCATAGCTGGTCTGGAGGGCAGAGCCCAGCTATTAGCTTGTCTACCTTGTCTGTCTGATCTTGGTTCAGATCTTTAGCTTCTTTTGGCTTTGCAGTGGATTTTCAAGATGGACACTGAAGTCCAATGAGAGCCAAGCACACAGCTTAATAAATGGTCCATGCCACTAGCAATAAGCAGGCTCCTTAATTTTAGATGGCAGCCTCACTCTTCTTCCACAACTTCACTCAATTAGCTTCTCAATTCAGAGTCCCAGTTTTGTCATGTTCTCAGCCTTTACTCACTTGTCATTGCCCTATGTGGCAGGACTTCTACATGCTGGTCCCAGTTTGCCCTTGTGCCACAACTGTCAGTGTTCAAATCCCAGCAGGGCCTAATACTCCTGGGAAACCAGTTTATTTGATCTTCTTTAAACCCAGCTTGAATTTGTCTACCTTTCTGTTTGCTTGAAATGTGTTTGCCTATATGTGTTTGAGCCTTTTTTTCCTCTTAAAAACATTTATAAAGTAATGTTCATCTTGCTGTGATCAAAACGTTGTAAGGCCTATATTGAAAATAAAGTGAGTGAAATGAATGCCCATTACTTGGAAAATTGCTAAATAAACTGGGCTTCATGTCTACTGTGTAATGGCAGACACCCACCGAGGTAACTTCACAGGAACCAACCTGAAAAGTACCCATTGTATGCTGCTACATGAACATGATCAAATACAGAACAATATGTGGACCGTGATCATTATGGTCTTGAAAAGGTTCCAGTTGTTTGAGAAATGTTCAAATAGTTCATGGAAAATGCATATTGTAGAAAAAAAGAACTAGGTACTTTTCTTGTCTGGCCCAAAATAAACTGTTTAATTCCATTTTCAGCGAACTTTGGGAAGCACCCTTACATGCGTATGAAAACACTGGGAATAAAACATTTTCCAAACTGTTGTTAATAGAGATTTCCTTTGGAGAGGAGGAGGGAGCTAGGTTGAAAGTGAAAGGAAACTCTTAACATACTTTCCTGGTTTTGATTTGTTCAATTGTTTTGATTGTGTTGATTTCATGACTCATATTACATAAAATATAAAGGAAATGCTGAGAGGAAATCCACTGTGATTATATTTTAGTTGTTGAATGGAAAAGATTCTTTTCCCCCTTCTACTTTTAATGATTTTTATTAAAGAGCAAAATTATAGCAAAAAGAGTTACTCTCTGTGAAATCCCACTGAAATGCAGCTCCCTCTATGAAACCTTTTGCTGATTCCTCCATGGGATGTGCTTTCCCCTTTCTTTGAAACTTCAAAGCACTTGGTGTATTTTTGGTGGCATTTATCTCTGTCTGTCGTGTTAAGTATTTCATCCATGTCTTTCTGCCCCTCTAGACTCCTGCAACGTGAGGCTGTCGTGATAGAGTAGAAAATAGGCTTTCAAGTTGGGCTCTCTATATGCTGGCTTGTGTTACAATGATCTATTGCAGAGTGATAAATTAGCTCCAATTTAGAATCTTAAAGCTAAAGTCATTTTTTATTCTATCACGTGACTTCTTGGTTAGGAACTTGAACAGAGCGGGGGTGATCCCTCTGCCCCATGTGGTGCTGCTTGGGGTCACCTGGTGATGTTGAGCTTGAAGAGGATAGAGCAGTGCAAGAGGTTTCACAGGCTTACCACTGGGCAGGGAGCTAGATGCTTGGGTTTTGTGAAGTGCTTTTCCTTCTCTGAGTGCTCTTGGGATTTTTTTTTTCCACACGGATGAATGTCCAAGGGAACATGGCAAACTAAGGCAGTAGCTGATCACGCTCCTTAAGAATGAAATTGGTACGGGGGGTTCCTACAGGTCAGGTGGCCACAGAGCCCACCCATGTTCAAGGATTATTGGAACAGAGATTTTACATTTAGAAAGCAGCATTTGCTTACAAAATTGTGCCCATCACTATTGTCTCACATTTTTGCAATTTCTGGGTCTCAGTTATTACATGCAAGTTAGACCAAAATGCAGAAGAGTATGCAGGTGTGTGCAGAAGAGTATGCGAAGAGTGTTGTGCATGATACCTAACTGTTTGTGCTATAGACATTAGTGATGATTTTGGTATTCTAGCTCTTCCTCATTCAATAATATTTTCAAAGCAAACTCATGGAAAAAACACAGATAGTTCCTAAGAAAACATCCAAATAAAGCGATGATGGATGATACGTGTGTGGAAGCATGATGTCATTGTAGGTCACAGCCATTGGATTGATTTGACATGAATTACTCCAAACTATGTGGATTGTTGACTCACCCATCTGAGCCACTATGTTTTCATCACAGCGTGATAGTAAGATCACCTTCTTAGCTGAGTTTCTGTGAGCACTGGAGCTGATGTGGGCCAAGCACCTCCTATGGTGATTACAATGTAGTTGATCTTCAGTTTTTCTTACAATGGTAAAGTGCTCGAGTAAGTTGGGACTCCACACTTTTGGGCCTATATTGCTCACCTCTGTTGAACAATTCAGAGTCCTTTGGAAGGCAGTGAAGCAATGGGGGAAATGAAAGTCTTCTTGTGACCCTCAGGTTCCTCCTCTCTTTGTGTGTTTCCCCTCCCAGGAAGCTGTATCCCATGAACTTTAGCTGTGAAGTCGCTCTTCTCCTCAGACCTTTGGCTTTGCTTTTCACAGATGTATGAAATCAAGGCAGGAGGCAGCATCGCCAAGACGTTCAATGCGATTCTGCAGAAGTTGAGCTCACCGCTGCAGCCCCGAGTTCCAGAGCACAGCAACAACCACATGAAAAACCTCTCCTACCCATTTTCCAGGGAGAAAATGTACCTGTGAGTATGGAAGCGGCTCGACCAGGATGTGAGAGGGAGTGTTAATGGACGCTGAAGTCACTGTGTGCCTTAGTTCTGGGGCTCACAAAGTGGGTGCCCGATGCTTGGGAGAGAGGAGAGGAATCAGGCTCTGGTGCTGAAATAGCCTCTGTGCTTGGAAATCCCCTTCTGCACATGCGATTTGCCCAAATATCCTTGGTGTATGTCCAGGGAAGAACCTGCCAAGTGTCATTTTGCATGATGGATGGAGAACCACGGAGCAGCTCATAAACTTGGACTCTGTGTAAAACAGACACCTGTGGGGAAACTGTGCTGCCCACTTCTTCACTTGATATGTTTTCACTTAATGTGATAAGCCACAGAGAAGGTGAAAGAAGCTTCTGGACTTCTCTATCCCCAGTTGCTTGCTCAGGCTTCCTCCCTGTGCCCCACCTGAGTGGATGAATAAAAACGCTTCACAGGAAAGAGAGGGAACCATGGCTGGGAAGTGGGAGATGTGGCAACCAAGCAGGGATTCTGAGAAAATGGGTAACCATCAGGAATGCTAAGAAGTTGGATGAGAGAGGGGAAGGCAGGGCATGAGAAGACAGAGAAGGCAGGACCTGTTCTCTTGAGGAGATGGCATTCACAGGGCAGTGGTCTTGCTGGTATGTTAGGGGATAATTTCATACACCTGTGTATGTTTTTCTTTTGCATACACCGCCCTCCCATCACTGAATCCTCACACCTGATTGTGCAGGGCCAGCCAGCTATGGCCACCCTTCTCTGATGGGGAGGAAACTGAGCTCTGGGACCTGTCCACGGTCACACGGCCACTGGCCTGCTGTCCCTTGTGCTGCTGCTTTTCCTGCAGCTGGCTTCGTCTAAGCTTCCCCTTGCCTGGGCCCTTCACGCATGCTGGCTCCAGCCTCTGAACGTGTGGCCTCGACCTCAACACACCTTCATTCCTTTCATTTATGCTGCCCTCCAAGTCCAGTGGATAAGCACCTGCACTTTGTGAACACTGTGTTCTTCCCGACTAGCTGTGTGCCCTGAGCAGTCTTTGCAGAGAGCTGTGTTGTCATCTTCTGCTTTGTATCCATTACTTGTAGACACCTTCCCCCGGGAACTGGTGGCTCGTGGGGGAGCTGGCAGAGGATTTCATTCATTTCTTGGCCTCTTGCACAGGGCCCTAAGCACAATCTCACTCCACAGGGACATTTTCTGAGTACAAGTTCAATGTTTCAAGTTCATACCAGATTCAAATCTTGCCCAATTAAACTTGATATCTTACTGATGAGATGACAATGATAACCTGAAATTAAATTTCAGAAAACAAAAGGGATTATAATTCCAACATCCTAATACTAGACTCATTAAATGCTTTTTATGTCTAGCCAACTGTATGTGTATTTCATATAATATATAGTTTCATTTTGAAAGCTTAACCTGGTATAATATTTTTTCAATCACAGTACAATCTGTAAATAGCAGAATTTTTGCTTTTTAATGATTGGGTGATAATCTGACATATCAACTTTAGAATTGCTTTATATCTCCATAATATTTAATATAAATAATTTAACAAGCATTTCTCAGTGCAGTTTTCTGCTCTGGACTTTATCCTATGTGGTAGAATTCTTTGATAAGATTTCAGAATTAATGGATTGGAAGGCACAAACCCTGCAGGTGTGTGTGAGTGGCATTACCTTCTAAACTTGCTGTGTAGCTTTTCTCAGGTTTGCCCTGAACCCAGCTGGGGGTGGAGGTATGCACGCTGGTTTCAGGGCAAGGATGATGGCCTGAGTTTATTGTCTGCTCTCTATTGTCTGTCTCCAGGTACAATATCCAGGAAAAGGACACCTTCTTTGATAATGCTACCCGCAGTCGCATTGTAAGTAGTTGGATGTGCTACTAATTGAGTAAGCAAGAGGTTGAGGCAAAGTTGGGGATTCAGCTGCCAGAGCATCCTTTTCCCCTTTCTAATATCTCTCCTCATTATTTGCTTAATGCTGCCTAGCAACCAAATGGCATATCCAGGAGCTTCCTCAGCCCAGTAGCAGAAGCAGCAGCAGCAAACAGCTCGTGTGCTAGTGTGTGAGGAGTATCTTCTTTTTACGGGTTCTTCAGAAAAGTTCTTCTTGGGATCACAAAAACAGGAAATGTTAGAGTCATTGGGCACTTGAAATATGTCCTTCACAATTGAGGAAATGTGGGCTGTGAGAAGCAGTGCATCGGAAAGCAAACGTCACAGAGTAGTGTCAGAGCAAGGACTGGAACTCGTGCCTTGCTGGAGCACCGTGGTTGGTTATGTGTTTTCCTTTCTTCTAGCTGTCGTGCCAAGAGGTCATGTGCATTTCTATCACAGAAAGTGCTAAAAGTTAGCAGTCTTTTCAAGAACGAAACTGTGAGCCCATGCGATAGAAAATCAGTATTCATGATCTCCTTTTTCATGTGTACATTTTGCCTGTCATATCAAGCTTTTGCATTTTGTAAGAGTTATAATAAAAATCTGTAGATATCTCGAGTCCCTGCAGACCCAACCTGACCTAGACAGCATGTCCTGTCCCTGATGAAGTCATTTTCCAGACCTGGAGGTCATTCAGCCCAAGACCCAGTGGAGAAACAGGGCCCCAGGAATGCCAGAAACTCACTCTTGCCCTTGTGTGGAAAGTGCAACAACTGATACAGGAGGGGGAATAAAGATTCCACATCTAGAAGGACCTCCCAACCTGTAGTGTGATGAGAAAGATAAGAAGGCTGAGAAGGGACAGGTGCCATGAAGTTACAGAACACCGTAGTCATGGTGTAAGCCTGTCCTTAACTATTGACTGCAGGACACACAAGACAATCTCTCATGTCCCTTAATCCCGTGCTATAGAAAGACTTAAAATGAGCATCTGATTTCTTTTTGTCTTTCCATGAAAAGAGGCATAAACTTGGCATTTTCCTGGTTGATGTTATTACAAGCCAATGAAGTCTCACAGTCTCATGACTGTGGGGGAGTTATAGGGTGTTGTGGAGATTACCCGATAATTGCAAAGTGCCTCTTAAACAATACAAGCCCATATCCATGCTGTTCCCAATTATTATTTGCTGCTGAATTATGGTACTGTATTATACGCAAAATTAAACACTCTGGGGCCTCTTGCTGCTGGAAGTTATTTATTTCCCACCCGCTCTGAGCCTGTGGCTGGAATACGGCATGTAAATGATGATGCAATAACATGTCTTCTTTCCCTGAAATTTCTTCCCTCCCTTCCTCTCCTTCCCTCCATCCAGGCCACATTGTGAAAAGGGAGAAAAAGAGTCTTGAGTCTTGTTCTGCGGTCAGCACTGCTTTGGGCCACATCTATGTCTGTGTCTTTGTTGGCGTCTGAGCAGCCCACCTGTAGGTCCCAGGGCAGCTTGGGGCCCATTAGGAGGCTGCTTGGCCCAAAGGTTTCTATTGACTACCTGTGCTCCTGAATCTTCTGCAGTGAGCATCCCTTCCTTCCCTATGGGAAGTGGGGTCTCTCCCACAGCTAAGGGTTTCTGTACAATGCACTTGTCCATTAGGCAGGCATCCTAGCAACCTGCCCAGAACTGCTGTCTGACCGGAGTGACAGAGGAAGCCCAGGATATGTTCTGTTTAGGCAGTAAAACGGTTGGGAGAAAAATCCTGCTGATAAATAGTAGCACCAATGGCCACAGATAGCCCTTCTTGCCATTGCCTCTTGTGCTTAGGAATCTGCTGCTGTTGGCCCCACATCCTGTACTTGCTCAACGGCTAGCCAGCAATGCTCAAGACTGGGGAGATAGGGGTGGCCTCCCCTGTCTTGAAGGGAGAACTACACCTTCCCGGGGGTTCCCAACTTGGCACTTGGCACATTGTTAGTTCCTTGAGTCAAGCCTTCAGTCCACCCCAGCCATGCAGGGGTCCCTCAAAGTCTGCTCTCCACATAGCTTTGCTTACCATCCTTACCTGCAGTCGGTTTACAGCACCAGCGCCTCCTTTGTTTGGTCCTTGGGGTGTGTGCGTCCATGCGCACAAGTATGTGTGTTCAAATGTGTGGACTTGGTATGCATGGTGCCCGAGTTGGCACATGCTTGCATTGATTCTCCTTTTCTGGGATGGTGTGTGGGCGTCCAGGCCTAGGACAGTGACGCTGGAGTTCAACATGCTCACTACTCTGTTGTCAACTTTCAGGTGCACGAGATTCTGAAGCGCACAACCTGTTCTCGAGCCAACAACACCATGGGTAAGAACCCTGCCTGACCTCACTCCTGGCCCTGCCCTTGCTACCTTTGGTGGGCAGCAAACACAGCTCAACTCCCACTTGGGAGCTGTGAACTGCTGGCCACCATGACATAGGTCTCCAGGAGCCCAGTACTGGCTTCCTACTTGTGGGGCTGGGGCTCTTCCCAGCTGCTGCTAACATTGCAGCCTGCCACTCGCCTCCATTCCCTGTCCCGTCTCCTCCTTTGTGTCCTGGTAATTCAGCTGTCTCTCTGGTCACAGTTTCCAGTAGTTTTGAACAGTCACCTAACATAATGAGTTCTAATGAATCAGTTGATTAATGCTAAAATAAACAGTGTCTTTGCGTCTCAATTCCGTTAACCCGACCCTCAACATGTCACAGCCTGCTTCGTCGACTGAGATGTCTCCCTCAGGTGTTCCTGGTGACTTCGTCTTGCCCGCATTCCATGATCTTTCCTTAGTTGTCTTCTAAGCCATCACCACTGAACTTCCACTGACTGGGAGCTGCTATCTGAGAAGGTGCAGATGTGTTAAACTACTTCTGTTGTCTTTCTACCTCTTGGACATCACCATCTTTCTTTCTTTGGGTCCTTTATCTTCTTCCACATTGTTAGGTGCTAGCTGCTGAAGTCCTTCCTTTATGCACCACCCCCATTTCCTCTGTACATGGATCTAGTAGTCATCAGTGTTTAGTCATGGTTCTCTCACCAGTTCTATTTAGATGGTCACCAGATGAAGGCCTGTATGTCCATTTCTGTCTCCTTTTTCCCATTTCACTTCTCTTTCTGTTGATGTGACCTCTGTTTTCATTCCTTTTGCTCATGCTGTTCTCTTCACCTGAATGTCCTGCTCTAGACTCAGCATCACTGCCCTACACAGTCTCCTGGGAGGTCCCATCACACTCAGTCTCTCGCTTATTATCTACACCCATAGCGTAGACTCCCAAGACAGTGAGTCTGAGCAGTCTGCCTTGCATATTCTACTTGGTTTATTTGATTTAGTGAATTAATTTCAAAATGCTTGGCCTGGTAGTCCCACAGCAGTGTTGCTATTAAATTCCTGACTTCATGAGTTTGTGACAAATGACTTAAATTTGTTGTTTTATGCTGGGTGGGGGATAATATGATTTATCTTGCAGAATTTTTGTAAACTGCAGAGTCTTTCACGGGGAAAGGTTATTTGGGGGATGGTGTGTAGATTGTTGGAAGATCACTGGAAGTCCTCTGTTATCACTCTGAAAGTTTCGGGTGTGTGATATGTCTCAAAGTCAAACATCATTGACCTTGTGTCGTTGTTGTTGAATAGTATTCACAAATTTGTCTTTTCGACGTGGCATTCAAAAAACACTTGCCGAGCACCTGCCACGTATCAAATGATGTTATAGAAACAGAAAGCTGCCAAGATGTATTTGACCTAACTTCTGCCCTCATGGGACTCTTAGTTCAGCCATGCAGACCAAAGTATAAACAGATAATTATGAGATAACGTGTCAGGTGCTGTGAGAGAGACATGCACAGTATGTGATGGGAATACCATGGAGGAAGCTATGAACTTCTGTGTCTGCATCTGGGGGTCAGCATAAGTGAACTAATAAGTTTTATCAGGGCTGGTATGGTGGGATAATACATTAATCCTTTTCCTGCAGTGTTGGCATTTCATATGGGTGCCAGGTATGTCCTGGCTGCTCCACATGGATTCCAGCTCCCTCCTTAGGGCCTGGGAGAATGCCCAAGTACCTGGGCTTCTGCACTCATGTAGGAGGTTCCTGGTTCCCAGCTTTAAATCAGTTTAGCTTCAGCCCTTGTGGCCATTTGAGAAGTGAATCAGCAGATGGAAGACCTCTCTATCTCTCCTCTCACTGTAAAAATCTGCCTTTCAGATAAAAATAAATATTTAATAAAAGCAATAGCTTCCTAGCTTGAAGAGAAGGTAGGGGTGTAAGGAATTATCACCTCCAATTACAAATGGACACATAGAGGACAAGAGACTTACCAGGGTCAATATTGAGTCAGAATTGGTATAGAATTTGGATAAACATGCCCCAGTTCCAGAATGCTGTTTTCAGAATGCTATGGGAGTGTTAGATTGAGTCCTTAAGGCTGTTAATTCCACAGTAGCTCCTAAGGACACACAGGTTTTGTAGCAAGGTCCCCATGACTGAGTCACTGTGTATATCAGCAGATAAAACCCAGGCCTAGTTTTCCAGTGGTTTGATCGAGAGCCCGCTCAGCTCTTTGGCCAGCTTACAAATCACACTTAAAAAATCAGAAAAATTGATGAATGTGGTAACACTATGTAACACTATGTGACATCAAGGTCGTATGGGCCTTTGAGCCATGGGTTAATTTTAGTTTTTTTTTGCTCTTCTTCCTGGTTTTATGAGTGGTAGAGAGAACAAATGACTACACTTGGCTTTGATTCCCTCTGGGGAGAAAACAAGGGAAAACAGGCTTGTACTTGGAATTATAAGATTTTCAGTTGATCCCTTACTCTTGAAATTACCTTCTTTTATGGGCATTGCATTTGTGGTCAAACGATAAGGCTTCATTCACAATTAAAATTAGCTGGTATCACTTTTATTTTTCTAGGCAATACATTTTTATTTTTTAAGTATTTCCTTTTGAAAGGCAGTTAGAGAGAGAAATTTTCCATCCACTGATCCACCATTTCATTCCCCAAGTGGCTACAACAGCTGAGGCTGGTCCACGCTAAACCCAGGGGTCAGGAGCTCCACCTTGGTTTCCCATGTGGGAGGGAGATAGGGGCACAAGTAATTGGACCATTTTCTTCCACCTACCAAGGTGCATTAGCATGGAGCTGAGTCTTGAACCAGTTCTTTGATATGGAATTCCAGCATTCCAGCTGTGGCTTAACCAGCTATACTGCAATGCTGGCCCCAGATAATATTTTTTATTAAAACCCCATTTTGCAAAGCACTGACCTCTATACAGGTTGTAAACATTGATATATTTACGTTCTACCTTATTCCATGTAATTTCTGAGATGACTTACAAGAAAAACAATAAAAACATAATATGTATAATTAAAAATAAGCAGTAAAAACACAAATTAATATAGATCATTGCAATTAGGAAGGAAAGGAAATAGAACACAATTACTTGAACTGTAAAGTCCTCTAGTTTCCACAGTTGGGTTGAAAATTCAACTCCAAAAAGAAAGAACTACATGGCTAGTCACAGAGTTCTCCCATTCTGAAGTCACATCTTGTATAGAAGTCTTTCTGAAAATCTATCACAGTCTCTTACTTTCTTTTGTGGAATACATCTACGTATATTCTCTGTGTAAATGCATATGTAAACTTTTCTGGATGATTCATAGTCATCACTAAGAATATAAGGCTTTGTTTATATTTATTTGAGAAGTCAAGGGATAGATGGAAGGCTCCCATCTGTTGGTTCAATCCCCTGACATACCTGCAATGACTGGTCTGGAAACTCGGTCTAGGTATTCTCCTAGCTGGCTGGCTCTGTGATACTGCCCACTACGGGCCTTGGATTTTATCACCTGAAGATAAAGAGAGGACGACAGGCATGTGAGCCATTTCTGCTAGAGATATATCTTAGTTATTGGATCAACTCAATTCTGGCCATTTCGGCCATTTTGCAAATGAATCAGCAAATGGAAGACCTTCTCTCTCTTTCTTTCTCTTTCTGTAAAATCTGTCATTCAACTAAAACTAAATCTTAAAAAAAAAGAAAAGAAGCAGGAGGAAGAGAAGGAAACATGACAGCAACAGATCTTCCACATGGGTGCAGGGTGCAAAGGACTTGGACCATTCTCTGATACCTTCCTGGGCCATAAGTATAGAGCTGGATCAAAAGTGGAGCTGCCTGGACATGAACTGGTGTCCATATGGGGTGCCAGTGCTAGACGATGAAGGATTAGCTTGCTGTACCATCTGACCAACCCCAGTACTCCCACTTCTAACTCTCTAGTTCTCCATAACCTCCAAGAGAAATGACTCAATTTGTCCCTTTTATTTGCTCCTGCAAGTAAAGAGTTCTGCAGTAGAACCACATGTATTTTTCGGAGACTAAAAATATCTGTGAGTTTGGCTTCTGCATGAAGGTGGAAGTGTGTGAGTGATCACAAATTTGGTCCAGCCCCACGAGGTCTGCTTAATCAATGTCATGTTGCCTGAGGTCAGCTGCCAGGGCTTGGGAGCTGACTCCACCATGCAATGGCTGTCAAGTGCAGTTCGCATGCTAAGGATCCCAGCCGCCTTGACCATCGCAGTGGGGGAAAACACCTTTCTTGCTGCTCCATATGGAAAGTATTACCGCCTTTTTGTGGACAGAAGATTACAGATTGATGGAGCTGCCTTTTTGTGGACATTTCGGTGTCAGAATATTTGAGCAAATGTGTGCTTTGGGCATCTTCCCTCCCACTCAGGAGACGATGTCTTCATTATCTTGACCGAAGCCAGACCATGTTGTATGTTGTAAACATCTGGTTTATCGTTCATCCAGCTGAGCTGGTTTGTATTTTGCTAGAAGAAAAGGCCTGGGATTAAAGGCATTTAAGTAATTAAGCACACGTCAAGACAATTTGGTGATGGGTAAATATAGTCTCTCTTAAACGCACCGTCTGGGGGCTCTGGTTTAAATTTGAGTCCGGCTGGAGTGCAGGGATGAAAGCGGAACGCCGGGCACACTAGGCACTGTTTTGGGGGGGAGGGGAATTCGAACCAAATGGGTGTTCAGGACTCCAGCACCATTCCTTTGAGTACCTGCCCAATGCATGAAAACCACCTTTCTTGGAGGGAACAGAGCTGTCATCCCTGTCTCCCAGGAGCCCTTGTCATAGGGAGTGAGGTTCTTTAGGAGACAGGCCACCAACTCCTACGGTTTGTTTGTTTCTTTGTGTTCAGGAATCAGGAGACAATTCTGAAAGGAAATGCCAGGACTTCGATGCTGTATGGTGAATGCATGTTTTTAGGTACTTGTGCTGCTGTAGGCTGAGTTCCCCCAATCCTGCTTCTCATCCTTGACCCCTTTGGGTGTTGCTGGGCTCAGTTTGCACACACCATGTCCATACTGGGCACAGAGCAGGCAGTCTTTCTTTAGGACTTGGAGTCTAAGCAACAGGTCTGAATTACCTGGGCAGGGATGGATGGCCATGGCTGGAGAATGTGAAGGGCCCCCAGTGGCTATGCATTGTTTGAGCTTAGTCTGCAGTCCTCTTTAGGGAGACAGGAGTGAGAAAATACTCTCAGTGCTTTTGCTTTCTCTCTGACCCCTATCCCGGGAGACCTAGGATGTTGGATCTTCCTCTCTCTTCCCAGGTCTGGAACAGAGAGGAGAGAATATATATGTGATCCTGAACAAGAAAGCTTTCCCATTATGACCAGATGGATGCACATGATGGAACCAATTAGCCCATTTTTTGCTGAAAGAAAGGGAAAAAAATTACAATTTCAATTTTCAAAGCAGAAACTCTTTAAAAAAACCACGTTTGATTATTTTCTTCTCCTTTCAAACTGATTTCCACGCTTGTTTTGGGACGTAGAATCTTGTTTTCTGAAGTCTGTGGGGTGGACTGCGAGGCTAAGAAAATGCCTGCTCACGGGTGAAGTTGTGATGGACAGTCCTTCTCCAGTTCTCCTTTCCTTCCTGCTTGCTGGATCTCTCTGTCTCAGGAGCTTTTGCTCCCTCCTTCCCAGCAGCCACGGACTGGAATTGCTCACCTGATATGGCCCTGGGATTGGATAGGAGCAACAAGGCCATGGGTGACAGAGAAACATTCAATTACATCATTCGCGGGCTCTGGTTTCCTAAGTTGGGACAACTCAGGTTTCAAACTTGAAACTTTGCTGCAAGGCAAGGAACTGTTTTCCTGGGCTTCCTGTCTTAGGCAAGCAGACTAATCAGCCAGTTTCGAGTTTCTTCACCAGCGCAGGATGCCAAACAGAGGAGGGAGGAGGCATGTGGGTGCCACTGGGACCCCAGGTGGGTGTTGAGATAACGGAGCTCACATGCTGTCATCCCTCCCATGCTTCCAGCCGTGGACCCAGTGTCCCGAGAGACACAGCCCAGGGAGGGTTGGGTTAGGAGGATGTCTCTGACCCAGGATCCTTACAGGTCTTTGGTGGATGCTAGCATAGTGTTGTAGAAGTGAAGTAAGTACCGTGGTGAGCTGGGCCATGCACAGGAAGCTCTGTTGGAGCATTTGAAACCCTAGGATTTGAAATCTTTTTGAAGGATCTGGCAGCTGGACCCAGGAGTTCAGGTTGTCAGTCTACTGCTTCCAGATGCTTGGCTACTGTGCTGAAAGCCACCTGAGAAACAGCAGAAGAGTTGAGTAAGTGAAACACCTGCGTAGCTTTGTCCACATAGTTCTGAGATTGTCTCAGAGGGTATGCAGCTGCTGTGGTGGTCATGGAGTGTGAGCGATTCATGGGGTGCCGTCTGTCTAGGGTCCTACCCTCCTGGGATGCTTTAGCCTCTCTCCATGCTGACAGCATTTTTTGCAGCTTTGAACTTCCCCCCTTGGCAGCCACAGCCCAGCACCCCCTCCTGACTGGGGACTCCTCCTTTTGATTCTTGGAGGGTGGCTTCATGTGGCTGTGGTTGTAGCTCTTGAACTGATTAATAGGGCTCGGAGTGAAACTGTAGTCTTGTGAGTAAAACAAATCCACAGCTCGCTGAGCGCCTCTGGCACCCCTCCCCCTTCTGCACTCCCTTTCCTCACCACTCCCCTCCCCCACAAAGTTATTTCTCATGTTTTATACTCATGCCAAAGAGGAACCTCAAAGCCAGCTAAGGGCCGCCGGCTTTGGGGGGATGTATTCGTGCGCAAAGCCCTTAGGCATCAATGCATCAGAAGAGTAACCACGTCCACCAAGAGTTCCCTAAGCCTCACAGAGGTCTGTGTCCCCACTTGGGTCCAGAGTGTGGTCTCCATGGGACATCTTTTATCACAACTGTGACACATCAGGACAAGGTTCAGAGAAGAGTTGGCTGGAAAGGGCATATTCCAGAACCTCTGATTGCTTAGGAGAGAGCCAGTGGTGGGAAGCTGTGAGTTTTAAGGAGTACTTGTCTAGATTTGTTACCCAGTGTAAGTTATCTATAGGTAAGCCAATATGAATTCCCCAGAATTTGCATGTCAGGTATCTTTCTTTCTAAAACCCCGTCATCCTCTTCTCACTGCTGTCTACAGCCTCTCTGGGAATAAGGGCTCAGGACAGAATATGTGTGTGAGAAAAGGGACACCACTGTGTGTCAGAATCTTCCCCAATTTCTACCTTCTCCCTGGTTTCCTGTGAGTCCTAGGAGTACAAGATCTTTGGTAGCATAAGTTGGTGAGCTGGAGTGCCTGTCATCTGGTAGCCACTGACATGGGACAGACCACTCCCACTCAGACAAAATACAGAGACCTCTTCGAAGTCTTTAAATAAAGCCAAGATTGAAATGAGCAAATCCCAACAGCTTTGTGCTGAGTAGAAGGTTCTGTGTTGTGGGGACCATGGGGTCAGAAGGTCAGGGCCTTTGATTCATCCCACACTTATTTAGTTGAATTTAGTGGTGTTGAGATGCTGTTGGGATTAAAACATTGATCTTTTATTTTATAGTTTTCACACTTCTTGATCTCAGGGCATCTTTACACTTTGCAAAAAAAAAAAAAAAGATTAAGAGCTCGCAGAGGCTTTTAGTGTAGGCGACTTTCATTCATTTGAATCTATTGCATTCTGCGTTAAAACTGAAATATTGTCTAAGGCACAAGATTGCACAAGCACATGCTTTGGGAGGTGCATTGGGAGATGCTGTCATTACAATGGTAGGAAATCCCACTGTCTACTTGAGAAAGAATAACGGTGGAAAAGCAAATCAGGTTTCGACCTCACAGAACCTATGGAAAGGGTCATGGGGTTCCCAGGGCTCTGCAGACCACAGTTTGAGAACTCCAGTCCTGTGGAGCCTGCATTGGGTTACAGACAGGAAATCATACTGCCTGGTGAAGGAATAGGAAGTGCCAGAAAGGAGATCAGATGAAATGTGATGAGCTACTACGATCAGAGTTATCTGTCTGTTCATCCCTGTGCTATCCCTGAACACAGAGACTGTTAGTGGATGTCTGTGGCCATGGTGATAGGGTAGGGTGCCCGGGGCCTGTTGGGCAGCTATGGTCTGAGTTCTTGAAAACAGGAGGAATGTGAAGTTTGAGAGAGCATGTTTGATATTGAAACATCATTTTGCACACGAGGAATGAAAAAATCCTATTCTTAGATGAAGAGCAAGAGCTTGACCAAAAATTCTAGATTCTGAAGGACATATGGGTAGAGGAGAGTGGCATGATCTTCAGCTGGGAGGTGGATGAAGGTCTAGCATTTGTCACTAAAGAAGGGTGGGAAGGACCAAGGGTGCAGCTGTGAAGCCATAGAAGAAGATGCACCTGTGTCCCGTGTTAGAGCTCTGGTTTGGAGTGACAACTCCAGAGCCCAGCTCTCTGCTAATGCACACCTTGAGAGGTGGGTGATAGCCCTGTCACCTGTGTGACAGGCTGTGAGACTAGGCTGGAATTCCTGATTTCATCCTGGCCCAGCTCTGACTATTGTAGGCATTTGAGAATGAGAAGATGCAGTTGCTCTGTATTTCTCTATCTTCCTACTTTTCAAAAAGAATGAAAATTTTTAAATGCCAATAGCAACAAACAGAAACAACCTCTCCCACTACAAGGGCTGAGAAACTAATACTGTAGAATTATTGTTTTCTTTTTTTAAAAATAGTTCTTTATTTTTATTGGAAAGACAGATTTACAGAGAAAAGGAGATACAGAAATATCTTCTATCTGCTAATTTGCTCCCCAAGTGGCCACAACAGCTGGAGCTGAGCCGAGCTGAAGCCGGGAACTTCTACCAGGTCTCCCATGCGTGTGCAGGGTCTTAAGGCTTTGGGCCATCTTCTGTTGCTTTCTCAGGCCACAAGCAGGGAGCTTGTGGAAAGTGAAGCATCTGGGATATGAACTGGTACCCATATGGAATCCCGGCGCATGCAAGGCAAGAGTTTAGCCGTTGAGCCAACGTGCTGGACTCATGAGTTACTGTTTTCATCTTCCTTTCTTCTGTAGGTATTAACTCCCTGATCGCAAACAACATCTATGAGGCTGCCTACCCTCTTCATGATGTAAGTATCACTTCTTGGGTACACTGTCTTGAAGACCTCCAGCAGTGCAGCGGGTGGACACATGAAGACAAACCAGGGTGACTGTGGGATTACAAACACCTTGGCTTGCCTGCCATGGCTCATTGCTGACAAGCTCGTTGGATGGTGGTCAGCTTCTTCCAACTGTCTCGCTAGTGAGTTTCCCAGATGACAAAATGATCTCTTCTTTTTGACGTCAGAATCGCCTATACACCTGTCCATTGTTTTTGGTGCAGGAGTGAAAATTGAGCTGTAGCATGTTGTTGATTGAACACAGTTGTTTGGCTAAGCAAAGAAGACAGAGCAACTTCCATGGAAGCTGTCCTTAACCCACTGTAGTGCTATAAACAACCGATGAGAATGTAGTGATATTTTTCTAGAACAGTCTGTCCCTTAAAGTGAATGCAGCACTGGCTCCACTGTCCCTCTACTAAGTCACCTCTTTAACATATGTCACCCAGTGAGTGGTGCCCTGTGAGGCCAGTCCCACCTTTCCCTCATACCTTTGCAGCAACATCTCTGATGGTGTGTTCAGCCCATGCAGGACAAGGGCAAGTGTGTCCGCATTGTACACGATGGTCATGGGATGTGCTAACCTGTTCACTTGTCCAGGATCTGCAGGTGTTCAAGGGGGAGGGAGCCTCTTCATGTGAGCCATTAGCCCAATGACCATTACATGTGGGGGTGAGTTAAGAAGTGAAGCATTGACCCCTTACCATGCTAGGCTTTCGACTTTCCTTAAATGAAAGAGAGAAATGACATTAGAAATGACATTAGAAAGTAAGAGAATCTATGCTTGTGTGGCATCTGGTTGTGATCATCCATTGGCTTTATGTGGTATCCCTTTTTCTCCTCCAGGGTGAATATGATAGTCCGGGGGACGACATGAATGACAGAAAGGTAGGCCTGGCTTGTGCTGCTTCGAGTGCGTTGTCCCCATGGGACCATTCATGGCTCTGATACTGGCTGGCATGTTTTATTTATCTATTTTTTAAGTGGTTTTCCAGTAGCCACCCCCAGCACTGGTATTTGGAAATGCGAGGGCCATGTCTGGTCATACAGTGACTGTACACGTGTTTGTGTGTGTCTTTCTGATGTTTAGTCCCTGGGACCAGCAATGCTAAGCATCCTGAAACATCAGGGTCCCACGCAAACTCCTTATTCCACCCTCTATTGAAAAGAGAACCCGCATTGAGAAACACAGATGCCCAACTGCCTTAATTTATAGATGTGAAAGCTGACACCGGGAAAGTTGAGCACCTTGCCCTGGATCCCATTGCCATAATAAACAGATAAGACTTGAAATCCAGTGTCTGAACGTCCAGCTCTCAGGGCCTGCCTTCTGTTGTCTTTAACATTTTCTTACTTTCTAGGTAAGACAAGTACAGTTTCATCATTCCCCAGTTAGAGATGAGAAAGAGGTGCTCACTCCCAGGGACCTGGGACTTCATGGTTACAGTGAGGAGAGGAACAGGGATCACCTGAGCAGAATCCCTTCGATGCCTGTCACGGCTCCTGACCACACAGCATGCTCTGTTGCTCAGATGTCTTCATTCTGTTGGATGAAATTCCTCCCCTGCTATGGCTCAATGCTCTAAGAATTGCCCTGTCCTCTACTTGGGGGCAAATATGCACGGGCTCCTCATGCCATCCTTTTGCCCAGGGTCTCTGAGCCTGCAGCAGAGGAGGGTGGGAGAGGCTGGGTGGGACGAGGAACTGAAGTTCAAGACGTCTCCCTGCCCCAACTCTGTTGTCTGGAAAAATCATTCATGCCCAAGTTGCCTTTGGAGCAGTCTTCTTTTTATCCTGCCTGTTAGTCCCTGTTATGAAGTGTTAAGTATTAAAAACATAAAAGGTCTTTTCCAGAAATACGGCTGTGATTGCTTGCACATGTCCGCTCTCTTGCCTGCCCAGGGAATCTGCTGTAGCATTTCGATGTCTTACCCTCATCTGTTTTCTATCTGATGCTAATAGTCTCGGTGTTTAATTTCCTGAAAAGTCCCGATCAGATTTAAAGGAAAAGGAGGAAGCACTTCTCCCCACATCTCACCTCTCTTACCCAACCATTTTCTGTCCTCCCAATCCCTAATTTCCCAATCCTCCCCTTTAAATGGGGATCGCCATCCCACTGCCTGCCTAAGAAACCCCCTGCTGGGTGGTGGTGACCCTAGACAGAGAACAGGAACACATAGTAACTCAGGGGGACCTTGTCAGTCAACAGTTTCTGGTACTGATGGAGAGAAGTCAAGTGTAGAATACTCTAAATATACATGCGTTTGCCTTTGGAATGACATTCAATGATTGTTTTCGTCCCAGTAAATGCTTTACTTGGGCTGATAGAATGAAGTCAGGAATGGATGGGAGCTGGCAGAAATCTGCCGGAATGGAGTTGGCTGTTGGTGGCTAATTCTCAAAATTGATGTCTGCTGGGGGTGTGGGGAGGAGGAAAAAGGCCTCTTTCTTGTGGCTTGTCCACTTACCAGTTCTCGCATTCAGAACTCTGCCCAGGTCAAGGTTAGGGAAGTGAGTACGCCTGGGAAGCTGATACCCAGCAAGGAGGGTAGACAGGTTTCAGTGTCCGTAAATGATCGTGAAGTCAGGGCTGGGGCCTTGGCAAACACCTCCCAGCCGGTATGCTTTAGTCACGTGGACATAGCTTCTTCTGTGCAGTGGGTGAAGAGGCCTCTTCTGTGCTGGGCTTGCTTCTGTGGTTTTAGTCACCTGTGCATGGTGCTTACACTGCCTCCTAGAGGAGAAAGTGCAAATGCCCCGGAATCCATGCAGCCCAGCTGAGTTGATTAGCGGTCATAGCCAGGTGAGTGGGTTTCGATTGCAAACGCCAGGGAGGACTCTGTGCCTTGAAGCTGGAGGATGGGGTGTGGAGAGGGTGGAGAGGAGGGCTCCGGGCTGCAGCATGGGCTGGCTCTTGGAGGACCCTTTGTGATGAGGTTTCAAGTGGCCTACCTTGCCAGTACTGGGTTGGTCTTCTTCTATCTTCTTACAATCGGTGGCTGTTGCTGTGGTCTCCAAGGGCCAGGTTTGTCTTCAGCAGAGGCCAGGCAAGCCCAGGGCCCAGAAGAATGGCAGTCTTTTTCTCCCTGTCAGTTTGCCTCTTGCCTTGCCAAGTCTCTGAGACTCAGCCCTAGTCTGCTGGTCCCTCCTTGGTTTCCATCCCCCAGAGCCATGAGGAACAGGCTTCCTCCTGCTGGAGAACAAGGCTTTCCTGCCTCCCTCGAAGCCAGAGCAATAGGAACAAGGAGCAGGGTTCCATACTGGAACATGCTTTTCCTTAGGAGTTCTGGAGTCCTTGGTCTTGGAGCTCACAGTCTCCAAGGAATGTGATTCCCAGGGAGCTTCACTTGGTGCTTCCATGTTCTGATCCATCAGGAGGTGTGTCCTTGTGGATTTTCAGCTATCATAAAATCTTGGGGTCAGTTATGCCTCAGAATCATACTCAGAGCCTCTGTAGTAGTCACCGCGCATTAAAGTTGTGCTACAACCTCGGACTTATTTGCAGCTTTGGCTAACTGGTGAAGAGAAGACAGCGAGTAATTCTAAAGGAGAAAATGGATTTGCTGACTCTGCAAGTTGAAAGGGACTATTGCAGGTTAGCATTTGGTGCCCTGCACTTTGTTCATGTAATAATAATCCTCTTGGGGCAGAGCCTCCAGGGCATATCTCCCTTTAACCCTGCCTGCCAATCTGTTCTGGGGTCCCTGGAGTTGAACACAATCCACCTGCTCCTAACACTATGTGATCAAGCATCCTAGACGCTGAAAGTCTGTACAGCTCCCTGAGTCCCTCCTTGCTCCCCTGCAAGGGATGGAAAATCAGGTGAATTGGCCCAAGCAGATCCCTGTGAGTGTCTAGCATAATCGCTACATTGCCTTCCAGGTTTGGTTCTCTAGCTCCAGTTCTCCTATTCAGGTGTTCCTTCCTTTGTATCTATCTAACTATCCTGTGTCACATGGCTAGTGTAAAAATATTTTTGATTATTTAGAGAGAGATCTCACCCATAATCTCCAGATTCTCAAAGTAGCCACCACATATGGCCAAAGATGGGAGCCAAGATCTCAATCCAAGTCTCCCAGTGGATGGCAGGGACTCAGTCACTTGAGCCATCACTGCTGCCTGTCTGTGCACGTTAGCAGGAAGCTGGAGTCTGGGGCAGGATCTGGATGTTGAACTCAGATACGCTGATGTGGAACCCAAGCTTTGTGATTGCTAGACTAAAAGCTTAACTTCTCAAACAGCTTCCTAGGCCTCTCACATCTGCATCCACCAGCTGTGGACACAGCTTTGTATTTAGAAGATGCCACCCTGAGACAAAGACTTTCTGCAGGGTTCTCACAGTAAAGATGGGATCCAGCAAGGAATAAGGCTTCTGAGGCTGGCCCTCAATTTGTCCTGGAGTTAACTGTGTTAGACTGGCTTCTTGGAACATTACTAGTTTTCCCAATTCAATGGTTAAAAGATAGTCTCAGATCCAGGTTCTAGTGGGACATGGGACTCACAGAGGAATTTGCTGTGGAGGTCAGAGCCTAAGAGGTAGGCAGTGACGTCCCATGGCCTTCAAGGTAGGGGACCTTGCCTATATGTCTATGACGCAGGCTGGCTTCCCTTTGGGCCACACACGATGTCACCATGACAGCAAGGTGCTGAGGAGCTCACAGTTTGCACTTGGGAGATAGACTTAAAACCCTGAGTGGGTAGAAGCATCACATATGGGGAGGAGGAGATAGGCTGACAGTGATCAGCCTAAGTTAGCAGCCGCTACCTTGGAATGATCAGCATTGAGGATCATGGGTTTAGATCTTCCTCTGCTCATCTTGTGCGATGCATCCCCTTTTCTATCTTGGTTTCCTCCTTGGCAAATAGTGATTGCATGGCCAGTTACTCTGTCAGGATCTGTGTTGTTTCTGGTTCTGGTTTGCAGCTGCTGGGAGATACCATGGCAACAAACATCTACTACCGTTAAGCAGGAATGTTAGCTCTCCGTTCAATTTTGAAAGCCTGTCTTTAAAGGGTCTTAAGTGCAAAGGATGACTTCCTGTAGGGTTAATGTTGAGCAAAACAGCCCAGTTGCCTATTTAGAGTAAGGTTTCCTTGGTCATTTGCAAGAAGCACAAAAACATCACAAAATAGCAGCAACATTCCCAGTCTGTCCATTCCAGGTCCATAATTTGATCAAGTGCCACTCTATTCGGTACAGCTGTCCAGGTGAGATCTGGTGATAGAGGGGCACTAACTTGTTTTAATTAGCGGTGAATGATTGCTGAAAGTTGCTGGATAAGTATTTGAAATTGGAATACTGGGATGGATGGCTTTCCCCTTGGAGTTGATGGCTCAGGGTCTGTGCTGGTTTTGACAGTGTCTGACTCTCACAGGGCGACCCGCCCCGTGTGCTGCGCATTATTCCCTCCTGTGCATTCCACTGAGGTTTTGCCTCACTTCTCTCTGCTGGAGCCCCTCTTGTCAGGGTCACTATGACCTTCAAGTCACTCCTCCCTTCTCCTCTGGCCTGGCCCACAATGGTAGGTAACCTTGCCATCTCTTCATTTAGGAACTCCCTCATCCCTTGGCTTCTGGGACATCCCACACTTCTGATTTTCTTTCTTCTCCACACCATCATTTACTTCTCCCATTTTTTTTTTTTTGCTGGACCCTCATGGTCCTGGTTACCCCTGAATGATGAAGTGTGAGGGGACAGATCTTTAGCCTCTTTTCTACCTGGTCTCTCTCTTCTTTGGCAGTTTCATCCTTCGTGTAATGACTGAATTTTTTCTTGCTAAATAACTCCAAGAATTGAGATCTCTGGTCTGGACTCTCCTCTGGACTCTGGATATGAACACCTGCCTGCTCATTCTGCATCTTGCTAGGACCACTGCAGTCACCTCCTTACTCCTCTGCAATTCTTTGTTCTTTATTGCCTGACTCATATTGCCTTCTGCCCCTGATCTTCCAGTGACTCCCTTCAAAGACTTTTGCATTGCCTACAAATCCCTGAATGATCAGGCTGTGCTAGTACTTTCTGATACGATCTCCATTATTCTCTCTAGGCTCCCGCTGTCCCAGCTGTGCTGTTTTCTCTGTTTCTGGTAGGACACACCATATGCATGTGTTTCAGGTCTTTGCACAGGAACAGGGTTCTTCCACCTGGAACATTCCTCTTCTTCCTTCAGGTCTCAGCTCACGTGTCACCTCCCCAGAGAAGCCATCCCTGGTATTCCTGAACATCTTCCCTGCTCCTTATTTTTCTTCAAGGCATTTACAAGCTCTCTGTCTAGGATTTATGTATTTGTGTCCCCATACCAGGTGTAAGCTGCACAACAGCAGTGGCATTGTTGGTTAGGTGCTCTATCCAAGGTCTGGGCAGATCTGATATATAGCTGTCCAACCAGTACGTGTTAAATGAGTGGCTAATGAACGACAGGGATTGTTTTCCTAGATTAGACAAGACAAGGGAACAAAGGAGGAGTGGAGCTGACCAGGTGCAGGACTGCCTCATAGTGTGATAAAGTTCACCTCTCCTACTTGGGGGGAGGAAAGGACTGCCCTTGGGGAGTTCCTCTGGGATGGCACATGAGAATTCTCTGAGCTTTAGGGAGAACACTCTAACTTGCCAGGATGCACAGAGAGGAGGAATGGTTGCTCATCTCCGCTGCTAATCTGGTTCTCTCTTTCTCTTGTTCAGCTGTTGTACCAGGAATGGGCACGCTATGGGGTGTTTTATAAGTTTCAACCCATTGACCTCATCAGGTAAGTTGTGGGAGTGGACTTTGGGGAGAAGGTTGTTAATGCAAATGGTCAACAATTCAGTCTTCTTAACTTTCTGTGGTCTCTTGTCCAAGTAGAGGAACCTGCTTGTCTAGCGTGTCTTCTGTTTTCCTACTCTGTATCTGATGAGTGGGGAAGCAGCAGAGAGGTAGGGCAAGAAAGGGGGCTGTGAGGAGGCAGATGACAAGGTAGCTGTACACTATGAGGCCCTTGACACTGTAATCTCCCTTTCCCTACCTGCCCTTTGGGAGGGGTATGGTGTCACCTTTCTTATTCTTTTCCTTACACTTGTCCTACAGAAGGACTCAAAGGGTGTTGTGATGTCCAGGGGGCCATGGTGATTCTTTAAGATATTTATTTGAGAAAAAGAAGAGAGAAAGAAAGATCAAAAGATGGAAGAAGAGATAGAGAGAAAAGTCCAATATTTGCTGATTTGCTCCACAAATGCCTGCAGTGGCCCTGGAAGCCAGCTGAGGTTCCCCATGTGGGTGGCCTGGACCCAACTACCTGAGTCATACATTTTGCCTCCTGGTATGTGCACTAGTGAGAAGCCAGAATTAAGAACTGATTCAAAGTTGGGCATTTAAACGTGGGATACAAAACATCCCAAACAGTGGCTTAACCATAGACCAAGCGCCTATCCTGACCACAAATGCTAGGCAGTGTGGTTGGCCTGATGGGGAATGTGAGCCTTTAACAACCTTTCCAAAACAGAAGGGAGGAGAGCTGGATCCTGGACTCTTCCCTTCGCTGCTGCCCTCGGAAAGATGACTTGTTGCCTGACAGCTTGGAGATGCCCCACATCCAGCCCCACCCCTTTATAAACAATCGGTAAGAATCATTAGAGAGGTTGTCAGATTGCGGGAGCTCTGCCTTGCCTACAGGGGGTGGAGAGCTCTAGAAAGCCAATTCACTTTGAACTTGTCTCCCAGTCAAAATGATGGGTGACACAGCAGCAGGTGCGGCGGCTCCAGGCTGAGATCTGACCTTCTGGCTCTCCTCCAGGCCTGGCCATCTAGTATTCCTGCTTGCTTGCACATCACGTTCCTTTCTTCCTTGGTCTTTGGGGTCCTGGCTGTCCTCGATTCAGAGAATGAGCTGAGGCTGCTATGAGCCAGTTCAGCAGACATCCTCAGTTGGGAACGACAGGGGGACTGAAGCATGACTGCCATGGTGGATACCCTGACACTCAATCATCTGTGGCTCGTTTTCTTGAACTACTTAACTTGCAAATGGACAGAGTATTCCTGGCTGGCTGCCGTGAGCTGGGGCTGTGCAGAAGGATTGTGTCCGGAGGGAGGACTCTAGCTTCTTCTTGGAAAAAGGAAGCACTGTGAGGGCCAGCATTTTGGCAGGTTTCACTTTCCCATGGAGAGGCAATGGCCCTGCCAGGGAACTGGAAGAAGCAGGTGTTTGAATCAGCTGAAAGCCATTAACAGAGATGCTTGGGTCAGGGGCAGCGGTGGGTGCGTGTGACCCCTCACCAGCGACTCCCAACCCTTGGCTGCTTTTTGTGCACAGCTCACCTGGCCTGCCACCTGGAGAGGGGGGTCCCTGGGCTTGAAAGGCTCTGATGATTTTCTCTGAATTCGAATTGGCCACACATTCTGTCACCTGTGTTCTCCAATCCAGAAAATAGAATGGAAAAATCAAACTTCTCCCTAGCCTTGGCTTTGGAGCAGAGCCCTACCAGGGGATGGGTGAGTCCCTGGGCCTGAGAGCTAGAGACTGGCTTGATCAGGCACAGTGGATTGGAGAATGTCTGAGGTTCCTCACAGATCACTGTCGGTTGCCTCACGGGGCCCTGTGGCAGGACAGGCCAGGGGCTCGGATGGAGGGAGGGGCAGACTGAATCCAGGCCTCTATCAGACACTGGCCTAAGGGGAAGGGATGTGGAATTAGGAGGAAAGGGACACCAGGTTGTGTGTGTGTGTGTGTGTGTGTTGGGGGGCACGTGGACAGGAGGCAGCTGTGCTCTGCCCTGTGCCCCTCAGTTCTGGCCTCCACCAGGTGCACCATCACCCGTGCCCAGCAGGCTGCACTGTGAGACTATGATTGGGTCTCTACACCTTGCTTAGAGCCTACCTTGGCTCTGCAAACACTGGAGCCTATGGGCTTGAGCTGACGTTCGTGTGTGTGTGTGTGTGTGTGTGTGTGTGTGAGAGAGAGAGAGAGAGAGAGAGAGAAATCTCTAGGGCAGCATCTAGCAGGAGTGCAAGAGAATATGTTTAAACTGACCCTGTAGTTTTGTCCAGGTACTTGTGCCCAGACAGAAATCCAGGACTCTTCCAGTTGTGCTGGAAGGGTGGAAGTATGGGTAAGTGTTGCCTGAGCTGAACCCAGGTGGCTGTTCTGGTTCTTCAGGGAGCCATAGAAGGAACCTCCTAGCAGGAGGAAGGTATTTCTGCTAGAACTTTCCCAGTTCAATGTCTCAAGGACCCAAGATGAAATAATTTTATTTTCTGTGGGATACCCATGGAGCTGGGCTTTTCAAATTGTGTGGGTCTGATCCAATACGATCCAGCATCTTAGAGCCCTGTCTTTTGCTGAAATTAACGTCTGCTCTTTACTGATTGCTTTAGTTTGGGATACAGATGAGGCAAAACAACAACAGCATCAACAACAAAAACAACAACAAAAAGACTTTAAGTATCTTCTGTGTAGGGCTCAGCTCCACATTGTAGTTTGCTGAAACTCAGGAAATGCATTTTTCCTTATTTATTTTTTTTAGCATCTGCCAGTGCTTACCTATGACAAGATGAGAAAGAGGGGGTTCTAGAAGTTCGTAGGTACAGGGGCACTAAGTCACCGGTTTATGCTGGGGGATCTGCCAGCAGGCCATGCGTGGGGCACAGTCACCACCCCCAGCCTCAGGTGCAGTGTGGAGGGGTCAGAGAGATGCTCCCTGCCTGAGCGAGGCTTCCTGCACTGGGAATCAGGCCCAAGGCAGGAAGTCTGGTTTTGTGGCAGGTGACTTCTTGAGATGTGGAGCATTTTCCTTAGTGGCACCTATGGGTGGCACCGAGTCCCCACCTCGCTGTACCGCTGTCGACTGTCTCTCCACCACAGAGACCAGCGAGAGCCCAAGCGCCTCCAGAGCCAGCTCTCTCTCCTCTTCCTCTAGCAGGGCAGGCTGTGCGATTTGATCCTCTCCTCTCAGGCTGCAGCCCCCACTTCTACCCTCTTGAAATGTGACCCACACAAATCCCTCTGGAGGGAAAGAGAGGAGGCCAGGCTCTCTCTCTCAGGGGGGTTTTCTCGGCTGGGCAAGCTCAGGAAGGACTGGCCACAGCTGGTTTGGGGGAGGGGATGGAGAGCGAAAGCCGTTGATCAACCCATGATGAATTATTTCCTGAACCCCTACTGGCTTCCCTGGGATTGAGGAAGGTGAAGCAGCTCAGGGCTGTGACCATTTACTGGCACACACGGTGACCAAGTCTCTTGGCTCAGTCACACCAGGAGGTGCAACAGTGACAAACTGGTGCCTGTTAGGACGTAGTAGATGTGCAGGCAGACAGATGGATGCAGGATGGGATGATACGGGGGCCGTAAGGACGATACAAATAAACGCAGCCTGGGACACCAGATGGAGAGCCATGGTTGCTAGCAGAATACAGAAGGCTTTCCTCAAGAGGTGGAACTTGCATGTGGACTGTTGCTGTTTAAAAGACAGAGGCTGAAGAACGTGCCCTTATTCTCAGCCTGGGCTGTCCCGTTTATTGTTTAGTCTGATACCGACAGCCAAAAATTACGTGAACCCAAAGCCAGACCTTGGCTCCCTATCGACTAGGAATGATCAGCCCAGAACTTGACTGGCAAGCCTCATTCGTAAGGGCACTGTGCCACCCTGGCTGGTGGCCCTTGTCCTGCCCTGAGAGTTAGCAGGGAATCCAGAGTTGGAAGGAAGCGAGGCTTGACCCACCAGGGTAGACCAAAGAGAGATGACACGTGTGACGGCCTGCCCAGGTCTTGGCATTTGAGGGTTGAATTTAGCTGGGCAGTCATTTTCGTCCTGGAGAAAAATAGTAAGTTCAGGGCCTGGAGGTTGTTTCTTTTCCCTCCAAGTGTGTGAGATCAGAGTGGATGGAGGGAAGACAGGTGGTAGCGAGTTGAGGCATGGCTACAGAAGAGACAGGAATCTAGCTTGTTGTAAAGAGCAGGATTCAAGTCCGGCTTCTGGTGAAGTTCACCTGTGGAGGGGCTCGGGCTCCTTCCTCTGGCTTCTTCCACACTGCCTCACCTCTCCCAGAGGGGACTCTTCTGGGGGAAGGGTGGTGGCTCAAGACTAAAGCCAAAAGCACTGTTGGTTTTCTGTGGCTGTTCTCCCAGACCCACGGCAGCCTTCCACAGAGGGCGGCTCCTGTTTCAGATTAATTAAAACCTGCAAAGAACCTCATAATTTTAGAGGTATACACACACATGTGCATGCGTGCACACACACACACACACACACACACAGAGGCAGCTCCCATCTTCTGATTCAGTGCTCAAATGTGTGCAGTGACTGTGGGTGGGAAGCGCCTAACCTAGCAGTCCAGAACACAATCCAGACCTCCACACAGGTGCAGCAACCTAGTTATCTGAGCCATCACCACTGCCTTTCAGGGTCTAGACTTACAGGAAGCCAGAGTCAGGATCCAGAGTTTGGTACTGAGTTCAGGCACTATAATATGGGAGGTGGGCATGCTAACTGGCAAGTTAAATGCCATCTCCTGGAACAGTTTTCTAACTTCCTTCTAGTGCTATCAAGCCACATGATACAGATGGCAGGATTGAGGAAGAAGAAACTGGTTTGCAAACCCATTGCTTCCCTGGCCCTCCCCACATCTTATTTCTCAGAGAGTAAAAGAAGCTGATATTGGGCTGAACAAATACAACAGGCTGTCGTTTTGTGCTGTCTCCATTGTTGTGGACAGTAAACTCTCTGTCCCCTAACATCTCTGGAACAAGAAGTGGCATCTCAGTGGAACAAAGTGTAGAGA